AAAGTAAGAAAATAAAGTGTTTTATAAAATGTTAATAAAGCGAATAAAAATTATTACTTTAAATTAAGTTAAATAGTTTAATAAATTATTAATAAATAAGTTAAAAAAGTATTTAATAAAAGCTAATTTAATTTAAATAAAAAATTATAAAAGCAAATAAATAAAAGTTTTTAATAGCTTTTAATATATTATATATAACTAATAAGGTTAATTATAGCTTAATAAAAGCTAATAAAAAAAATAATAAAATAAAGTATAAAGTTTTCTTAATATATAAATAAGAAAATAATTAATATAATTTTAAATGCGTTAATAATAAAGGGAAAAGAAAAATTCTTATAAGTTAATAATTAAAAAAATTTTAAAGCTTTAATTAAAAAGTAAAAGTATAAATTATTTTACTTATAAATAAGTAAAGTAATAAAGAAAATTAAATAAAAAATAACTTAATAAAGTATAATGTTTTTAACTAATTAATAATAAAAAATAATTAAAAAAAAATTAATATTTAAACGAAATTATTAAAAAATAAAATTATTATTAAGGCTATTAAATTGTTAAAAAGCTAAAAGGGTTTATCTAAATTTAATAATGGATAATACCCTTTAACCCCCACTTTTCATAAGATGCATATATGCGTTAGTCGCATGCCAGTATCTCTGAACAGCGCTAAGTATTAAGCAAGTAACCGCCATAAATTCTTTTCCGGGTGCGCCTCACCCCTAATGCTATTTACTTTCCTCATATAATTATAGGACTCTCGTTAAGCGACTTTAGGTCCGTCAGCCTTTGCCGGCCATGTTAGGATAAGGTATTATCGAGGTACTTACTAATTCCGACTAATCATATATCTAGTTAAGGGGTGGAATAGCGTCGGTGATACGCGGGGATAGGCCAGGAGATAAGATCTCCAATGCCCCTGATCACCGCTGACATAAGCAATACGGTAGACAACCCTTTACCTAATCGGCAAGGCGTAGGCCTATCCTACACATTAATCATCATAAATATTAACTTATGCTGATATCATCATTGGTTTACCAATAGCAACGGAGCATGTATTCAGATTGGGCAAGTCGTAAACACAAAGCGTTACAGACGGCTATACCATCCAGCTTTCGTAAACTGTGGTGAACAGTGGACGAGTGAAGGGCATCATGAAATTTCAACCTCCAGATTTAAACCTATTCATTCATACATGACTATACTACTACGAAAGCAAAAGACTCATACAGTTAGATTCATTCATGAAATTCTACGTCACGACACTTTACCTAGGTTTGAACAGAAAACCACTGCCTCATGTGTCTCCGCTACCTTGTACATAAGTAGTTATGCCACTTGCCGACTAGTTGGCGGAGACGTCCTTACCTAGGAACGTTGGAATTGTTATTCTTGTTGAACTTACATGAAATATCATTGTGACTAATGAAGGGAGGTTTGCTTAGGAAGCCACAATGTGGTGCAACACTGAGGCATCAGTGCGGTAGTGGTGGAAACTATATGGGAAGCTGCAAGCAAATGGATGTGCCAGGGTCGATGAAACTTGTACAGTTGGCTAGGTTCAAGGCTGCCCTTTCAACGGCTGCACTCTTCCCATTTATACATTGTTCAGTTAGTAATAAGGACCTAGGATATATCATAAGATGAACCATTAAGTGGGTACCTAGTATTGTTTCTAGGAAAGGCTTCAAAGGAGACATGTCGAAATTCCTCCATCACCTTCTAAGCGTCGGATACCAACCCATTCATTTCTTTAATTAATGACTTGGCTTTTTATTTCACATATTTCCGATATCCGTCAACTCATGGTACCTGCACAACAGATATGCTCTGGAGAGGCCATGTGGCTCCTCTGAGATTAACCGCGTGTGTGGTAAATTATGCTAATGAATCCGAAATATGAAGATTCTCTGTGTTTCATAGGGTGAAGCAACTCATCATTCCCTGTAGAGGATCGTCAAGGCAAATTCTATCCTAACGCCAAGCCTACCCAGAAGGAATGCCATCAGCTATTAATTGTTAGGTGAATGATACCAAGGGTGATTTAATATAATAGGTGATTAACAAACCTAAAACTAGAATCATTCAGAAACCTGAATTTTCTGAGTGGTTATTTGTGCCAGGACTTCGGTGACCTCTTGGCCGTTTTCGATCTGAACTTCTTCAATAACCAGATGCAGGAAGTAATGTCCCGAGTCATGAATGGCAACTTCGGAAAGCTCGACACGCGAAAGATCTAGTATATCACCACCAGTTGCTTTCAGGCCGTAAGTCTTTCCTGCTGACAGTGTTATGTTGACTGGTGAGTTAGAGATAACTTGCACTTCTTCACTGAAGCCTTCAGAATCCCCGTACATAATGTCAATTTCTGCCGTAGGTTCGATCTGGCCAGCCCCGGATGCTCCAGGGCCCTCTAGCTCGTCTTCGTCGGGTTCGATTTCAATACTGATATCAAATTTCTGCCCTTTCCGAACATATATGACCGGCCCCTCGCATGTTAGGATAGGTGGAGATCGTAAAGGTTGAGGCAATTCCGATTCTTGGGCGACTACTATTGTATCGGGACTCGTGACTTCCACGGCGACAAGGGACATGGCAATGGTTGGTGTCGAGGTTGCTAAACTCGTCGCTGATGACGTCGGACTCGGCAAATGCGTGGCCAAGGGCCAACTGCGAGAGATTGTCGAACTATTCATTGTGAGGAGGATAATTTCTGCAATCGCCCTTGTAAGATTTTTTTCTCATAGGTATTGATGCATGCATCCAACTTCGAAGGTTCAGTATATGCACGAATTTCTAGGATTGAAGTTGAAGATTGGGTGGGCCGGATATCGAGAGACGTAGGTTAGGAGACAAACCTGATTTGTGGGTGCCTTTTGTTGTTTCCTTGGGGATGAGCATAGAGTAATTGCCTTATCTATTCACCACTCACATTTTCCACATGTGCAAATAAGCAAGAGCGCTGCGACTCTCCAAGCACGTCCTCCCCATACGTGGATCCAGAACTGCCTGGCAGGGGCAATATGCCACACCTTAGGCACTGTCGAAGGGAGGATACACAAACCAAGACCAAGGGCCTAGGGATCTAAATGAGGCCTTAGCTTCCTCAAAGACGATATGGGGGTTATTTATAATCCGGAGGAAGCCTGAGGCGCCTCCTAGAGGCTACTAAGAGAAATAAAAATCATATCTAGTCTTTTGCCCTTTTATCGATATCATCATCTTGTCAGGAAGTCCCCCCAACCCTATATGAATGGTATAAAGGCGAATGTGCATGGTAGTAAGAACAGAATATCAAAGTCTCCAGGATGTTGAAATGCCAGTAGAGAGAGGATAGAAGTGATTGTTTGCATATCATCACACATCTGGCACAATAGATATTCCACGATATGCGTCAATGATCTAAATAAATAGATTGAAGACGTTAGATAGAAGTTTCCTAACAGACTAAGTGCGCGGTCTACTGATAATATTATGATTCAGACCAAGATAATGCTTTCTTGGGAGGAAGGGAAGAGGGTGATCAAGAGAATTCGTCACTAAATTTGTATTATACTAAGGATCTAGGATAGATGGTTGTTCTATTCGTAGTAAATTACGGCTAGGGATTCCTAAACGGTGGAAATAGCCCGCCACTCAACTCTGAATAGGCACTATATAAGTAGTGTTTACTCGTGCCTTACAGGAAGCATCTCAAATCTCATAAATTATCTCCGTACTCAACCATTGGGCAAGAGCATCATTTTCCCTTAGCAGTACCGTTCTCTACTTTATCCGGATAGATGTCGGAATAGGCCGGCAGAGACTTCACGTGGATATTTTGTGTGAAGAGCGTCTGGACAACGGTATCATCTCCGATCCATCTATGCCGCTTGATTTCAAACTGGATACGATAGATACCGTCATAGAGAAGTTTCAGTTTTCTGAGATGTATAGATCGACTATGGTTCCAATACCTGATGTTGGGGCCCCAAAAAGCCGTTAGGTGAGGCATAAATTCGCCACTCCCACTAGCCCAATCGTAAACCCAGATTCTCACGTAGTCTCTCGACCCAGGTTCACTGGTACGCTTCAACTCTATAGAAAATTCTTGCGTATCGGTGATCTGCATGGGCTGGTCGTCGGAGATCCAAAACTCGGGCTCTTGCCTTGCCATCCTTGATGATGTCGCTGTCGTTGAGGACTGGTGGGTGGATCTTGATGTACTGCTCTGTGCCGACATCCCTGATATTGATGGGTTGGTTATCGACTTCCGCTCTGGCTTTCGGGATGGTTCTCAGGCTCTGGGGGACACGGTCGAATTGCGTCGATTGTCTTGCGGCGTCTTTGCCTATTTCACGTTTCTAAAATAACCGAGAGGACGAGATAAAGCGATATCGGCTTCAAAGATCCTGATGGGTAGTGGGTACCTTTCAGGAAATATCAGTAAGCCGTAAGAGATTCTAAGATCTTTTTATATTTTCTTAGAAATATCGGTCGTTAGCCAACCATGACATGTAATTCAGTCTTTAACAGCTTTAGTGCCTATACTCACGTATTCCTGAAGTCTTCATACGTCACTGGGCGACAGTATGATTGTAGCGTGATGAAGATGTTCTCGTATCATGATGACATGAGAAGTGACAAACGGTGATCAAGCGAAAGGGGGCTCGTGAAAGACAGATTTGACTGACAAGGAAACACTTCATGATGAAAGATAGGCCTTCAACACAAGTACTTAAGTACCCGATATTAAAATAGGAATATGGTGGGAAATATTATGCATGACGGCAAGAATTGCCTGTCAGCTATCACATCGTAATGGACGCTGTGTAGCTGTATTAGTACTTAAAGTACCTAATGTATTGTACCGCGTAGAAGACTATCGCGGCGTGGTTGCCGCATTTTCTTTATTCCATTGCCCGTACCTACCATGGCCGGCGACTCCCTTTTCCCCTATGCACTTGGAGTATCCTTATAATTGTAAATAACGCGCCGAACCAGCAACAACGAGCACAGCACCCGTGGAGCAGAAGTTTAGCTCATTCCCCTCCCATGGTCTATATGGTTAGGGAAAGACCTGGGTGCAAATCCCGGCGGGTGCAGAATTTTTTGACGAGGGGTCTCGGGTTCAGTTCGACCACAAGACATTACAGTCCTTTTTTTCCTTTTTTTTTTCTGGTACTCTCAGATTGTGTCAACAATGGTATATCTAGGCCTACATCTGCTATTACCCCCTTCATAAAGACTTTGTTATAGATTTCTCGTAACTCACTACCATCCCCCCTTTTCAGACCCTAATATTTCTGGCTGTCCACGGTATCCAGGACAAATAAATTCCGTTGGAAGCCCCCAAATAATTTCGAAGAAACTGAAGGGACCAGACGTTTCTCTGTCTGCTAAACTACCAGGCGGGATTTGTCTTGCAGTGACTTTCCAAACATGTAATCAAATCATGAAGGTAAATTCTGCGGATGACTCTTTAGAAATATGCCATTAAATTTAGTATTGTATTTAGTCTAATTCCATCATACAAGGATTCTGGATCTCATGAATTCGAAGAGGTCGATATCATCACAAATTATGCAATTGATAGAATCAGTTATCCTAAGCTCACATGTCAACCACTTCTTTTTCTAAGCTTACTCCACAAATACTCTCGTTCACTTCAGTTTCAGCACGCTTAAGTCACGAACACTTTCACATGGTATCTTCCATGTAATAATTCATCTATTTCTTCATAAATCAACTGCCAGCTTCATGATGCCTTCAACCCCCAGCTGTTCCCTGTGACAATAGTTTCTGAGGAAAATTATCTTTGCCATTAATAGACGCGTAGCTATAAGCTCCAGTATCCGTTCACGTGGGCCAGTTAGCGCTTTGTGTACTTGCTGTTGTGGTGATGGGAGGAGCCTCCTTTCTTCCCTCCCTTCTGGTTGCCAGTACCAGTACTCTCATGGTGACCGCCCCGTCTGCCCGAAGCATTAGAGCCGGTCATTTCCTTCTCACCTCGAGGAGTGTCACCCGAGTGGCCGCCTGAGTTGCCACCACCGCCGCTACTGCCGCCACCTCTGCCGCCTGAAGACATGTTGGCTAAGTTCGCTTTATGAAGCGAGCTGTATATGCTGATAGGACTCTACATCAACGACATGAAAATGATGGTAGGTAGGTATCACTTAGTCGCCAATGCCGTTGTTCTTGGCGGAGTGGACTTTCTGAGATTTTGTTGAGAAGCGGAGAGAAGATCTTATTTTTTAAATATATTTTGCGGGTTGGCTCTTTTGGCGGTATTTCCGTCTGACCTCACAGTTCTATCGGAGTCATTGTACTTCTGAAGATCTGATGATCACCTTTGATTCGGAGCCATCGTGGGTGAGCATGGCGAATCACTTATAAAAAGAGGCACGGAAAGTCAGCAGCTTAATTCTTACTAAAATGAGATTCTAAAAACTGTTTAAGCTCAGTACAGAAGTATCTTACGAGAGACATTTTTCAAGGATCAAGTCAGGTTTTTTGTACAAGCGAATTGGACTAGACAAGACGGAACAACACGATGCCAATCACTAGACGAGAAAATTCAACGAAATGCCCATTTGCCGTGTTGAATGGGATGGCTTGTGTCACCTATTCGCCCAGAATGCGCATATAGAGTGTAGTTACATGTATGCTCCATGCTCAAATGGCCTACCGGAACGCCGTTTTCAGGGGCACAGCATACGCAGGCTTACTATAAGGTCCGATACCGCCAATTGGATAGTTTCGTCAAAACTGTTTACAGATTTTAGAGTCAGATAAATGCGATTATGCCTGTAATAGGGATGCCGTCATACTATGGCGTCCGGTTGGCGGGCCAATACACTAGCTCTGACCCCCTTTCCCCAGCCTCTGCCCCTATTTTCGGCACATGTCATACCAGTCGGACAAACTCACCCAACACCCCCCCTAATCCGTGCTGCCCCTTACTCACTGGCTCAAAATTTTGTTGTTACAATATTTGACCCCTTGCATAACCATTAATTAAGTGAAGACGGGATAACTATGAGAATGACGCGTCATGTGCATTTCTCTAGGGGCTATAACCTAAAAATGAGCAGATACTGCTACTGGTATCTACAGTCTCTCATAGTCCACGCGGTTAGCCTAACATATCTGACATCCTGGTTTGTGATTGACTCCTCATCTGTATCCTATGTCGCCAAAACTCCGTTTATCCGTATCCACTAGCATCAATGATTATCGTCGCTATTCATAAAAGTACTCAAATCAACCTTCGATCAAGTGATCATCCTCTCTCGATCTCTGCAACGCCTGTTGTAGACGCTCGTTCTCCTCGGCCCGAATGCGGCTCCGCGCGCTCTCAAGCCTCTCAACGCCGGCGTTGATCGTCTCGATGTGAACAGCCAGCGGAATAGTGGTGATGTCCCCTAGTAATTCTGGAGTAGCAACCCGATCTCGCAGGTCGCTCAGCTTTGTCTGGATATCGTACAGATCGTGTATCAGGCTACTCAGACGCCGTACTGCCGAGTGTCGTTGCTTCTCGACCTGCTTTAAGAGATTCAGTTGTTCCTTCAGGTTGTGCAGACGACGACTATTAGCCCCGACAAGCGTCCATATATTCCAGAAGACCTCGGTCTGCTTCTCCTTCACCACATTGCCCGTGCGTACCACCTGCTCATTGATCTGCTCGAGACTGTTTTCAGCCTGGTTGAGCTGTTGCAGGATAGCCTGGGCCTCCAGAATAAGGTTTGCAATCTTGTCTGACACCAAAGCCGTGTGCTCGATGTACTTATCGAGGAGAGCGCGCTCGTCGAATACAGATAGCTGGAAAGGGGAGAAGAGCCAATTACTGATACGTGAGAGTATGTTGTCGTTTGCCTCCTTGTTAGAGGCAATCGAGTCTATGTATCGTGAAGTCCACCGGTTAATGCTGATGACGCTATCGACTGCACTACCAACGTGGGTGTTGAACATTTGCAAATCGTTGGCGCTGACACGGACTACTTCAATGTAGGTATCGAATTCGTGGACTAGCTCGTTGCGTGTTGGTAGTTGGCTGAACTTGACCATTGTGCGAAGGTCACGAACTGATGCTTCGGATCGCTTCATGTCCATCGGCAGTGAGACTCCTTGTGCGGTATCTTCGAGCACCTTCTCGAATTGATCTTGCACGTTCATCAACTCATCAAATTCAACCAGCGTCGAGCCGTTTCGAGATCCGGACCATAAACCATTCGAACAAAATGGGAGGTTGATTAGAGATATGCCGGGTATCCGGCACAAGGGCGCCAGCGGAGCTGAGACGGAGTTGATGAGCGCGTCCTTGGCCATCAGACATGCGCCGATACTTAGATAGATGGCAAGCATGATGGCTAGGGGCCACTGCGCATAGCGAAGAGCCATCCGGAGGGTAGCGAGAACCCAGGAAGTAAAGTCGAATAGAAATTCAGGGGCAGACATAAAGAATCGCTCCGCAAGCGAAGCTCTGTGGGGTAGTTGCTCCTGGCCGCGTTGAGGTTGCCGGGGAGTCGAATCACTATCTCCTTGACGTACGCCTCTTCTTCTAGTCAGCCGCGAGTCTCTCATGACGGGATTAGCAGCCCTGGGAGAACGGCGATTGTTGCGCATTGGGCTGTCAACATCGACGCTAGGCATGAAGAACTCAGGAACAGGTGTTGGGTCCTTATCATCCATAGAAACTTGTCTAGATGACAGCGACGGCTGAAATGGGGCTCTTAGGATGACGTTATCTTCGTCTGCCCTATTGTAGAAGTCGTGAATGCTGTCCTGCGATCCCGTACTTAGGTCTTGGGATGAAGATGGTTGAGTCGGCTGAGATTGGCTACTGAACACGATAGCGTCGCCTTCAAAAGGATCCTGGACTATTGCGGTATCGAAACTGTCGTTATCACCTCCTTCTACCATACGCCAAGAATCCTCAACAGAGAGGTTGCTTCTTCGCGTTCGTACCATGACTATTTATTAAGTGTTTTGAAGAAGAGCGGGCCGATTTAGATTCTCAAAGTTTCCGCTTGGTGTTGTTTGCTTTGAGCTAAGCGACGACAGATTAAGCCTCCACACGATTAGGATATAATAGACTCTCCCAATAGAGTTGGCACTTCTCTCGATGCTCTTACTTAATCGCTTAGACCGATGGTTAGGCAGGTGTGGTTGTTATATATCAGTGCCAAGATTCTTAATCATAGCGTCGAATCAGGTAAACAAGGGTCGCAGACTTGCAGTGACTCATAGAAGCACGAAGTTATTAGACAATAGTGGAATTAGGCAAGGTTTAAAATGTAGAGCCGGACCAAAATTTAAATAAATCTTGGGCAGATGCAAGTTTGATGGAAGGCATCCATGTGCGCGCCTTATGAAATGAAGGAGAAATATCATGAACTGTTCGCGGCTGACTTGATGTCACGAGGTTAGCGTAGCGCCGTGTGATTGGGTCTTATACCATATCCAGTAATAAACAACAAGTTCAATGTTGTACTACAGCATTGTGCAGAGTACCTGTTCAAGGCTGCTAACTTCTAGTACGACACAAGTACTCCATACATATGACCCCTGTTCATCAATTTATCTCCAATTCGGCCTAGCGTATCATATCAAGCTCTATACCCCTGTCAATTGCCCAACTCCCCCTGCACGAATCAATTCTCTCGAACCGACAACTTTTCTTGCACTAATTCTGGAGCTTCGCAAAAGCTCGTCATGATTGATAGGTGATAACTTATTGGCGGCATGTTCGCACAAAGGGTAGTGAGGATACACCCTCATATATCGAGATGTTTGCCTCGAATCCGACATATCGAGTCATTCTCGACTAATCATTTCTGGTACCGAGGCTGTTCGTCGCACGCATCTTCCGACTTTCCACCGAAACCACCCGCCGATCACCGACAACTTGGCGTGCAACAGGAACTCTTCACAACCTCGAAATATAGCCCTGGATCGCCAATACTGCTGCCTAATGGTGCACGGATATTTAACCGCCTTGTAGAGTTTTTACGAAAGCAATATGTACGATATGGATTCGACGAGGTTATCACACCTACTATATACAAAAAGGCGCTATGGAGGAAATCGGGGCACTTGGAGAACT